CACACACACATATTTTTTAGATCTTTTATGAAGAAAAAAAGCATTAGTTGTCGACCTACAAATAGATTTTGGTATTGAAAGTTTAATTATGCTTCAAATCCAAAGTTGATAATCTACTTCAATCGAGAAATCAAGTTTATTCTATAAAATGTAAAAAATTTATATTTAACTTTCCTATAATGAACAATTATGATTATAATTCATATAATTCGTATAAAAAAAATATATAATTATCTAATATCTATTTGATATTGAAAAACACTTCCCTAATTGCATTTTCATGAAGGAAATATTTTTTCACTTACGGAATATGGATTCAAGCTTCTCTTATGAATGATAAAACATGAATCATTACACATTCATCTCATATCATTAATATAGTAATTTTACTAGAACTGTTCTGCAATTTCGCATAATCCCACTGTCTGCATATTAATCGCGGAGCGACGTAATACTACTCATTAGACAGCGCGCGCCCTTATTAATACAACGCCCGGATCACCGTTGTCTTATCTCGTTGTTATTTCGCTAACGGTAATGAACCTTACGGTTCCGTGATCTTTCACGGTGGACACAATGTGAAATCATATCTCACCAGTTAAATGCATATATTTTCAGGAATTGTTACACAAATGAATTGTTTGTTACGTGATAATCGTTTTCAGAAAGGAAACTTCATTTTTACAAGAGCATGAATATACTGAAAGAATTAATTCTAATAATGATTTTCTGCATTATAATAATAATTAATTAATTTTTGAATGCATGAGATATTAACCTAATTTAATAATTTGAAAAATTCCGTTTAATACTATTTGCATGAAAATTTAAGTAATGGGTTATTCGAAGCTCAATCGAGTTTTGATATTAAAAAGAAACATTTGCAAAAAATCAGATATGACAAGCGTACATTCCCATGACATAATCTTCTTATTCTTAGCATTTTTAATGTTCAATGTTTCTACCATCTTGTCTATTTCTGTTTGCTATTCTAGCTGTTTGCTAGAATAATCATTACGCGCATAATCAAAATGACATTTCCAATTGGCGTACGTGCTATTAGCAGGGGACAGAAACTAATGAGCAGAACTAATGAGAAAGGTGTCGGGAGTAACAAGTTCCTCTCGAGCTCAACGCAGCTTGAGAACAGCGAGCAGATTCGAAAGAGCAGAGGAGACAATATTTCGATATATTCTGGGAAACGAAGTCTCTGAAAAATTTTCGAGACAGGAATGTCCGCGGCGTCGGTTAATCCCACTATTATTATCGTGTATTATTATTCCGATCGCTCGCGGGAAGCGGCGCGTAGGGAACGGCCAGAGGAAATTATCGATGGACACATGCCGGCGTACCGAGGAGTTGTAAATAACACTTTTTATCGCCCGCAGTCTGGATTTCGGACGGGACGTAATCCTCCGCCCGTTTTCCCTTCATCCGTCGGAGATTTATCTGTAAAATTTTGCAGAAACCGGGAGGGGGACGGGGGAGGGGGAGAGAGACCGAGAGGGACGACGCCGCTCTCCTTACCACGCAAATGGTAGTTCCCGGCAACGCGCCCGGGCCTCCCCGCGCGTATCCGAGACGCGCGGCATCCGGTCTCGTAAGATTGCCGTACTTGCGCTTAAGGTATCCCTCGCAGCTGACTACGTGGCGGAATGTCGCGCCGCCGCGATGCCGCCAAGATGGGCTCTGGGCTCTGTGAGTGATCTTTGCAGGGCCGTATCGATTCGAATCACTCTCGCGTCTTTCTTCGATTGATTTCTCTTCCCCTCCCCTCTTTTCGCCCCTTCGCCAAATTCCGTACAGTTTTTCCGTTCCGTCCCGTTGATCATCCAAAGTTCGAAGTTCTTTTTTTTTTACATCGCTTCATCAAACAAAATATTTATCAGATCGCGATAGAAACTGGCCGCGCCTCCGATACAATTGGAGGTCCTTCTCTTTGTTCGATAAAAAAATTTTCAGACTCGATATATATTTACACGATGGTGTAATATATATGTGTGTGTGTGGATACACACAAAAAGTGTAGCTTCGTATGAAGTAGCTCGTATGAGTGAAGAGAAGAGGAAGAAGAAGGGACGCGTGGCATCGGCAACGTATCGCGTCGCACGATGATCCGCGCTGTGGTTCGCCGCCGTGTCATAGCTGATTTATCGATCGACATTTTTTCGGGGGATTTTTATTACGTTTTGATCCCATAGCGCATACATTTACCACCGAGACATTCATCGGCGACCAGGCCGGCCCTTAAGGCTTTAAGGGTCCATTCTCTCTCCCCGGCCGGACTCGACGTGACGTTCGAATTACCGCGTAATTGTTGCATCGCCATCGATGCCTCCCTTCCAAAACGATCGGCATTTGTTAGCCGACGTAATATATTTATCGCTTTGCTCCTTCCATTATTTTCCGTCCGATTAATCTTGTCAATCCCCCTTTCGAAATTTACATATAATCTTATTTATTGCGACTTATTATATATTTCGTATTATATATATATATATATATATATATATATATATATATATATATAATAAATCTTATTCATAGTCAATTTACTATATAATTCAAATCAAAATACAGATGTATCCTCACCGAATTTATGAATTAGCATATCGTCATATGTACATACATGGCGCTGTATATATTATGTACACTGCTAATACAGTAACCTTTTAAATTAACTGCGAAAGCTTCTTATAAATACGTATGATACTTACATGTATACTTACATGATACTTACACACAATTTTTTACATTAATTATTTATTATTATCATATTTATTATTATTATTTTATTATTATTTATTATTTTTATTTGTTACTTTTACCTTCATTTTTTTTTTATTACTAATTAAAAGCAATCATCCGTCTTCGGGAAATCAAGGATCGATCATCGCGTCTCACGCATTTTCGCATCCCACGCTTTTCGAGAAAGATTCTCCTCGATTCGAAATGTCCAGTGTGTTTAATCGCTTGTTATTTTCTATCTCTCTTTCGTCGCGCGCGTCCAAGTACTTCCTTTGTTGAAGGAAGGATGAAAAATGAAAATCAATGCGCTTGTTCGGCTTCGGCGGCCTCGATTATCCTTTGAAATGTGACCGTGTCGAATCCGGCGAAGGGCCTGTCGCGGCTCGCGAGCGGAAGCGAGCGGCGTCTTCTTCGTCGCCGGCGAAATATATCGTCAAAATAATCGTCCGTGGTCGGTGGATTCACCTTGGCGTAGTAGAGAGCCGCAAAACCGCTGTAGATCAGAAGAGCTGCGGTCGCGAGCTGATGCAAACGATATAACACGTGCGTTTAAATTAAGATTCGTAGGATTATCGAGGAAGATCCGTGTTAATTAGTTCGTGAATTACCTGAAAGACAGCCCAGAATTTGTAGCTTCCTTCGTTTATCAGAAAATCGTAGTAGCCGGCCCAATAATCAGTCTTGGCTTGATCCATCGCTTTCGTCTGACTGTGATCATTCTCGTCATCATTCATGTCTTCGTCGTGATCGTCGTTCGTTTCGTAATCGGTGTGATCACCCCTAGTATCGTAACCCCATCTATATGCTCTGCTCTGTCTGCGAATAAAATGATTTACATTTACATATTAATGTGAAGAAACAAGTTGATATATTTTGTATCAATTAATCACGCCGATCTGATACTTTACTACATTTTTTTATGCACTAGAAGAACTCGAAAATTGTACGCTTTTATGATCAAGATTAACATCAGAAACAATTGAGGCAAAATCTACTTTAGTCAAAATTTATATTAGGATTTACAGAATACTATTTATATAATTTTATTTACATATTATATAACATGAAAAATAATTGAACAATCAATACATATATGTATATTAAAAATTCATTTACATATATATATACATTTAAAATTCTATCAATTATAGAATTTTCCTAATTATTTAATACAAATTATAGATTGTCCAAAGTGAGCTTAAACGTTTGCTAAAGTCAATAAAAAGTTGAATTTATATATTTACCTGGCAGGTGAAATCGTAGTTAACCCAAAATTTTCTCTAGGTATTTCTGTTTTCGAAATCGATTCTTCTATATTTTCCACGTTCATTTCACCAGAAGCATGATAAATACAAATTGATAACAGAACGAACTTGCAGACTAATGGACTATTTCTCGAGCCTGTCAAAATCAAGATTTACATATATATAAAATTTATATGTAAAAATTGCGTGTAATCCATGATGAACATGTCACAACTATAAAAGCAGGATAAACAAATGTTAACAATATGTTAGCAATTTGTCAGCAGATTCATGCAAAATTGTGACAGGCTGGCATTAACTGCGTTTACAGTTAAGCCAGCTGACATAATCTAATAGTAGATTGTTAGTAGAACTCGGGGGGAATGTCATTTCATGATCACATGAACGAACTATATTATTTAAATAATTACAAAATGACAGATTCTACTTAGTTTCCGCAAATAATCTGTTATCATATAGTTTATATATAGGTTTTTTTATATAGTTTAGTTCGTAGATTCTGTTACATTTCTATGAGTATTCTATCGCCAAATTTGTAGCGGACACTTTGCAACATTTATTCTCGACTAAATATA